GTGGGGGGTACATTTGATCTGCTTTTTGGCAGTCTGGTTTAAATGTGCCCTACAGCAGGGATGGGCAAATGGCGGCCCGGAGGAACAGCAGAGTGCGGGTTGACAGGTGTTGACTTATTGTGCGTCAGCAGAGACAGGCTACAAGTGTCTTAGGTTCAGGTTAGACAACTAATGTCTGGGTTAGTGTTCATGACTTCATGTTTATGTCATCTTAATGGTTAATCTCAATGCACACACATTTTCCGTGCTTTCCAATAGTTTAAAATAGTTGTATTCCACTGTTAAATAACCTGTTCAATACAAACATGCCACTTGTACAAATTAAATAACATTTCTGTGAACTGATATTTGTTTAGCGAGCTTATTAGAGGATGTTCACTGAAAGATTGTAAAATGTCAATGAAGATGTCAGACTTAGTATATTTGTTAATAATTACATACAATACATGGAATTTGTGTGTGTGTTCCAAGTGAATCTGCGGCCCCCTGGTGGCCAGTACATAAATGATGTGGCCCCCACCACCATCAAAGTTGTCCATCCCTGATCTACAGTATGTATTTGACTGCTCAATGACATTCTGTATGATTTTTCTTTGTAATGAAATCTTTCAAGAATAAAGTGTTAAAAAAATAAATAGCAGATTAAAAGTTGCTCTATTCTGCAGTTTGTTCCTGGTGTTATAAGATAAAATAAGAAGTACTTTATTGATCCCAATTTGGGAAATGTTTGTGTGGCAGCAGCATAATAAAACAAGGCCAATGTACATAAGAGAAATTAAAAGATTTATCAGCAATGTGCGAATTTATGACCGCTTATATAATGACACCAATTCACTACATGTTTGTAACCAAGGTAAAAATATAGTTTGACAGAAGGAAGAGGTGAGTTCACTAGATTTTATTGGACACAATAAAAAGATAAAGCTCATAGCTTATCATTCATGTTGTAAAAGTCTTACAAAAGCAAACATGGACAGTAGCAAGTAGTAAGTTATGTGTGGATTCATTTCTTACCTATTTTGTCATAATTATGTTTACCGTTTGGATTTGAATAGAACAGGTTGGATTGTATGTTTTAGAAAGGAACAAAGGTGTCAGACAAAGTCCCCTCCCGATATAAAAGTTGGACAACTGCAGGGTGAAGTGTTTTACAATCCAACTGACACTGACCTCTTTAAACTGGATAAGCATAAGCAGGCTCTTCTGGTGATAATACAACCGAAAATATCAGTAATTAAAGAAACTCTTAGAAACACAGTGAATCATTTCCAAAAATAATTATTTCTTCTTTGAGAAAAGAATGACGTAAATAAACTAAGGTTGATGGGTGTGTATCAGTCAATGCTGTGGAAGTACCAGCATGGTGCCAATTATTTATGGCTATTTAGTATTTATACCCTGGGTGTGCCTTGATTTATATCACCCATGCAAGTTATGTGACTTTGAAGCAGGGTGGATACAACAGAAGAATAGCTTAGCCTGGTGATGACAAATATGTTCCTCTCAGACAAAGGGCAGGGCTTTTAAATCACACCCAGCACGCTAACTAACCCTTTGCCAAACCAAGAGGGTGAGTCTCAACGGTTCAAAGCTCTCCCTCAGCACTTCATTATTGTGTTTATTTAGATAAGAGAGAAGAGAGGAACACCATGCAGCAGCAACTCAGCCTCAGCCTCAGATGAACCCAAAGTCTGAACAGCATTCAGTTTACAGCCTCTCACAGTAACCACACTGTAATATTCATTGAACATTTTTCCAAAGGCAAGGTCTGAGTATTGCAAAAAGCAGGAGTTTGCAGTATTGAGACAGACAGGAACATTATTGCAGACAGCTTTGTCAACAATGCACTATGTCCTGTCAGCAGCCCCTGATATACAAACAAAAAAACATGTCAGGGGAAAAGTTGAATTTTCTTAATGCTCAGAATAAATCACTGTACTGTACTGCAGTACTACCTCTCTGAAAGGTTGCTGGAATACTTCACAAACTAACACACTGCTGTTTTTATTCCAAAAATGTACAAGGCATCAGGCTATGTTCCATAATCATTTAAAGTAGCAGTGATAAAACCTCATCTTAAAAAGCACAACCTCGATCCAGAGGTTTTAGCCAACTATAGACCTATTTCTAATCTTCCGTTCCTCTGAAAATTCTTGAGAAAGCGGTCGCAAAACAGTTGTGTGATCATTTAAAAAACAATAATTTATTTGAAGATTTTCAGTCTGGCTTTAGAACACATCATAGCACAGAGACAGCTCTTGTTAAAGTCACAAATGACCTAATAGCCTCAGACAAAGGACTTGTCTCTATTCTTGTCTTGCTCGATCTCAGTGCTACATTTGATATTATTGACCATGATATCCTATTGCAAAGACTAGAGCACTTAGTTGGCATACAGGGAACTGCTTTATGCTGGTTTAGGTCCTATCTGAACGCTCTCAGTTTGTACGTGTCAACGATGAATCTTCGATGCAAACCAAAGTTAGCCATGGAGTGCCACAGGGCTCAGTGCTCGGACCTATTTTGTTCACATTATATATGCTTCCGTTAGGCAATATTATAAGGAATCACTCTGTACATTTTCATTGCTATGCGGATGATACTCAACTATATTTATCAATCAAGCCTGATGAAACCAATCATCTAAATACAATTCAAGTTTGCCTCAAGGACTTAAAAACGTGGATGACCTTACATTTTTTGATGTTTTCCTTTAACGCCCACATAAAATCACATAAAATCAATCTCTAGAACCGCCTTCTTTCATCTACGTAACATTGCAAAAATCAGGCATATCTAGCCTCAAAACGATGCAGAAAAACTAGTCCATGCATTTGTTACTTCAAGGCTGGATTATTGTAACTCCTTATTATCAGGGTGTACCAAGAAGTCAGTTAAGTCGCTTCAGCTGATTCAAAATGCTGCAGCACGTGTACTAACCAGAGTTCGGAAAAGGGACCACATTACTCCTGTTCTGGCTGCCTTACACTGGCTCCCTATAGAACACAGGATAGAATTTAAAATTCTTCTTCTTGCCTACAAAGCCCTTAATGGGCAGGCGCCATCTTACCTTAAATAACTCATTATACCCTACTGTCCTACTAGGGCATTGCGTTCCAAGAATGCAGGGTTGTTGGTTGTTCCTAGAGTCTCTAAAAGTACAATGGGAGCCAGAGCCTTTTCTTATCAAGCTCCACTTTTGTGGAATCAGCTTCCAGTTTGTGTTCGGGCGGCAGACACCCTATCCGTTTTTAAGAGTGCGCTTAAGACCTTCCTTTTTGATAAAGCTTATAGTTAAGGCTGATTAGATTCAGCCCCTAGTTTTGCTGCTATAGGCTTACTGTCGGAGGACACCTTACTTCTTCCTTCTCTCTGTCTGTACCTGTGTACTCTCATGTTCCGAATAACCCAGCTTCCCCCAAATTTCTTTTGGTGTCTATATACGCCGGGATCCGGAGTCATGGCTGATCCTGTTGCTGTGGTCCTGAGTCCTAGATCGAGAGCCCTGGATCCTGAGTCGTGGCTGTGCCTGTTGCTGTGGTCCTGGATCCTGAGTCCTGGATCCTGAGTCCTGCATCCTGAGTCCTGGATCCTGCATCCTGAGCCCTGGATCCTGAGTCGTGGCTGTGCCTGTTGCTTTGGCCCTGGATCCTGAGTCCTGCATCCTGAGTCCTGCATCCTGAGTCCTGGATTTCGAGTTGTGGCTGAAACGGTCTCTGCGGTCCTGCCTGACTCTCATCATACTACTTCCCTGATGGCTCCCACAGGATTGTTGACATCCTCGTGGATTCATCTTATTATTATAGACACATGCATTTCCAAACATTTGGACTACCTATGTTGTAAATGTATTATCTTTTCAATTTACACACAGCATCTACTGCACGTCTGTCCGTCCTGGGAGAGGGATCCCTCCTCTGATGCTCTCCCTGAGGTTTCTCCCATTTTAAACTGAGGGGTTTCTTTGGAAGTTTTTCCTTGTATGATGTGAGGGTCCAAGGACAGAGGGTGTCGTATTGTCATACTGTTATTCTGTACAAACATGTAATATTTGTGATATTGGGCTATATAAATAAACATTGATTGATTGATTGATTGATTGATTGATTGAAGGTAATAGTAATTTATATTGTTTACTCCTCCAACCTTTCTTATTACAACATGGCAGACATTTTGAATTATATAAAATATATACCTCTAACGCCCACTCTTTGATATTATTAACCCTTGAATCTAACTTAAAGGTCCCTATTATACTCTTCTAGGACACGTGAAGAGTATGTCTTCTAGGACACGTGACTCATTTTTCTTGTCAAGTCACTTTACCTCCAATAATACTAGAGACACACCTGCAGTCCTGTTGAAGAGGAAGTACCTGTCTGTCTAATAATTATACAATTGGCCAATGTATCTAACCCGTTCAAAATGTATGATTATTAATTGAATTTGAATTACAATTTGTTGATATACAGATAAATAAAAGTAATCAGAAATATAACAGCTTATTTATTTCTTAATATCTCCACAATCACTTGAACATTCCCTCCCAATCACCTTCAAACAGTGAAAGGCTGTCATTTTAGACTGAATCTGATGTACTTGCAAGAGTTTGTTTCTTCTTTGTTGAATGCACCTTGTATGACCTTGTAAGTCACTTTGGAAAATATCGACAGTTAAATTCAATTCAATGGAATGTCGTCTTCGAATCAGGCCACTGACGTTTCCAGTGTATACTAGCACGTCTCACAGACATACTTTAAAGTATTCTTTAAACATCTCATTCAATATTTGAACATACACTCTCAAGTCTTTTATTTCCTGTCTAGTCGAGTATAAATTCAACACAACAGTGACCTGCGTAGACTCAAGATTTGATTGGAAACGTTTTGCAACAGTTTTTATCAAACGTAAATTAAATTGAAAATTAACAACTTAGTGATTGTCTTGTGTAGATTGTATTGCTTTACTTTTTCTTCTTTAAAAATCAGTCTTAAACTTACCAATGGTGATCTGACTGACACAGCTGTAGAAGGTTCCTGAAGAGGCATTGTAGCTGCTGCTGCTGGGCTCACGGTCTGTGACAGGACACACAAGGTATACGATGGCATCACTTACACTCTGTTATCGAAGAAACCTTACAATGCAACAAAGACATTGTGTTTTGTTTAAAGTGGTCCTATTATGCTATATTGGAAACATATATTGTAGGGCCATACCTATACAAAAGATGTCTGTGACGTTTTTTGCTTAAAATACCAAACAGATCACCCATTTTAGCCATGCCTCATACTGCTCATACCCCTCTTTTGCAACCCTGTTGCAAACAGGCTGATACTGCTTTAAATTGAACATCTGCTTCTAGCCAGGCCCCTTTGTAGCATCACGCAGCTTTCCCCTGCTAGAGAGATTTCTACGGGGAGAAGCTCAGCTAAACGCTGCGGTGATTAAATGCCATGTTATGCTCCTAACCACTTCAAGCTTTATTTTTGAAACAGTATGGTGCTCAAACCTTTCTCTCTCAAACTACAAGTAGCACAAAATAAGGCAGCACGATGTGCACTGCAGTGCTCCTACAGAACCAGAGTCACTGAAATGCTGGAGACACTGAAATGGTTAACTGTCAGACAGAGGTCAACTTATATTTTGTTAAATGTTGTCAGAAATATTACAGTGACTCACCACATATATTATCACAAAGGTTTATAGCGCAACATGCTCAACATAACTATCAAACACCACATACAATAGAAGGAAGGTTTGTATTACCCAAATCTAAATCAAATATGGGACAGAAAACAGTAATGTACAGAGCCATGATCAGCTGGAACTCTTTTCCGGTTCACATCATTCAGGAAAATTCTCAAGTACATTTCAAAAGGTTGCTAAAAAATTATTTAAGTATTATAAAGTACATTTGAACTGTGCCTGTGGCTATGTATGCATATATTATTATGTATTATTTGTATTGACTTTTGTTTGGCCTTGGGATGGTGATAATTGAATGACAGTTTTAGTTTTCACTTCATACAGCACTGTAAATTGTATTACATGATGAGCTGTTTTGTTTTGTTTTAATTTTGTTGTATGTATGTTTATGTATGTTTTGTGTGTGTGAGGACCCCAGGAAGAATAGCCAATGCTCATGCTAGTGCTAATGGGGATCCTAATAAAGACAATAAACCTCCATGGTTAGCTCTGAGTGTTAGCATGCTTTATAATGTAAACACACAGCATCTTACTCCCAAAACACGCTGCGCATTGTTTCTGATACAGCACATATAGCTTGACATGTTCTAAGTGTTTACCGCTAGAACAGTGCCATTATATTGCAGGTCTCCCTTGAAAAAGAGATCTATGATCTCAAGGGACCAATCTGATTAAATAAAGGTTTGAAATGAAATGAAAATATGTATTATATATATAACAACTTTACTCTAAGCCTCCAGCAGAAATCCTGCTGAATACACAGACACACAGCTGCGACTGTTTACGGAGACGATAGGTTGGGACGTGTCACGTCGGCCGGATGTCGCCAATGACGTTATAGGAGCGAAAATTCTGGATCTGCTTGTTAGCACCCCCTTTTTTTTTGTTGAGAGATGTGGGTACGGAGGAAAATAAAGAGGGTTTTGTTTTCTGACACTTCCCTGATACACAGGGGACACATATTCAAAAAATACATTTAGTATAATAGGTCCCCTTTAAGTCCAGGTGATCCCTATAATTGTTGGGGTACTTTTACAGCCATTGCTTTTCCAATAGATGTATAGGGAAAAAAGTGTGTCTTGGTCCCATAGTATCCTACAGTTCCCCATGAGTCCACTAACCTGGGGGGGTTGAGAAAAGCCATGACCCTGCAGCGTTACACATAAAACCCTAATACTGCAATGTTAGTGCTGTTCCACACATCGAGATGCACAAGGGGAAAAAGCATTGACCTTGCCAGAGCTAAGGCAGGAGTCTGGCAGCTCTAGTGCCGTGGTCTAACAATTTATGATGGGAATTAAATACATAAAAACAGATCAGCAGTGTTGTGAGAATCAGACGATAACCCTGGAAGAAAACCTTTATTGACCCTTATGGTGTACAAGCTAAAATGTCTAAAACAATGTTGTTGATTACTGATATGTTCATGTCCTTGTCTGGATTTATGAAGTGTGTCACCTTTATAGCCATTAGCCCTTTGATAAATGTCCTATGACATTTCACTATATAACTCAAGCAAATGTTGCATAAAGAATTTGGGGGGAATTATGGCTTGCAACTACACTGACACATAATCAGAAGTTTAATTTACAGATTGGTAAATGGTCATATTACTCTATCCTGTGTACAATTTAGTAAAGCAAAATGAAAAACTATGGCTGCAACAAATGATTATTTGTATTATACAAATAATCTGCACAACATTTTCTCAATTTAAAGGGGACCTATCATGCAAAATGCACTTTTGTACGTCTTTTATACATGAATATATGTCCCCGGTGTGTCAGGGAACTCACCAAGTGTCAGAAAACACAACCCTCTCTCTTTTCCTCCATACCCAAATCTCTAAAAACGGGGCTGCAACGGAGCTGATACAGATTTGAATTGTTCTGACTCAAAAAAGGGGTGCTCCGCCTATATGGGCAACTCTCCACCTATCAGGGGAATGGGGGGTTGGGCCACGGCCATTGCCGCTTGAAAGCGCTGGAGACGCTGTTGTATATATGCCAGGCCTGTAAGTGGCGCTGTAGTCTGCCACAAAAGCAGCGACGAAGACTTCCAGCGCATGGTTGTCATGGTTGCCCTTCTGTTTATTCTCCGCTGTGGACGCTCTGGCTCTTTTTCTCCCTCCCCGAGGCAAGCGTATGCTCCTGCTGCTGTTATTCAATGCAATCCCTCCCTCGCTATAATTCTCTCTCGGTAGTGAATTATCATTCAATTATCCCAATAGTGGCATATTTATTTTCTGTCAATCAATAAATCAATTAATCATTGCAGTTTGACATATAAGTTATACTTTAAAGCTGAATTCATTAATTGTGTTCTTAGTAGTTAGATGATAAGTTGCCATTAACAATCTCCCACTGTACAGCTCTCATCAGTTTCCATTTGTACGCAGACGATCGACAGAATGAATCTGTTGACTGAATGTTTATCATAATTCTGTCATTATGCTGCTGTCAAATCCTTGTCTCAGTACACCAGTCACCTCTGTGGAAACATTGGTTTAACTGCCTTTTTAATTGTCTTTTAAAAATGGACCTAGAGTCTTCAATAAAGCTGATGATGATGATGATGATACTCAGATCTATCTAAGCCGTAACCCACAAACCAGAACACTGTCAAAGGCCTTCAGGACATTCACAAGTTCTTAGTATTAAATTTAGAGATAATGATAATAGGTCAAAAATATGCAATCACCCAAATAACAAGGAGTCTTGGTTCTACCTTTGAAAACGTATAGTAACATAGACTCTACTCGTTTAAAAAAACAAAGTGTTACTTGTTTTATTTTTATTTTGTATTCATTTTCTGCACTTTTGTCGATCATTTGAACTTTTCCTGTTTATATTTGTTAACTCAGAATTTTGTATTGGATTTGTCTTTGTGTGTGAAGTACCTTTTAATGTTTGTACAGAAAAGCTGATTTATAAATAATCAAAGTATTTGTCCCAGTTATTACCCACACCATCATTTCAGCCCTCACTCAACAGAGAAACTAGAATAAACTGAGGATGAAATATCAGCCACATAAGCAAACATATGAGATGAAAGTATTGTCAGTGATCACATTTTACCGTTACCTGCAGATCCGGAGGAGAGGCGCGTCGCGATGGCGCAGCGAGGACTGCGCGGACTTCCCGGACAAACCCGCACCACCTCCTCCTGACACTGTACACAGATGACCTGGTTCTCTGTGTTTTCTCCGACCTTGCTGCAGCCCATATGTTCCCCCGTGGCCTGGATCTTCATACCTGTGCTGATCTGACGGACCAGTCGCATGTCTGCTCCTGTCTCATGCTCCAGCATCCTCCTCACCGGCGGCGGTCGCACTTATTACGCATGGCTTCTGCTTGTGAAGGCAACGACTTCTCCCGCATCTTTTATCTCCACCGACTGCAGTTCGAAATATAAGCGGTGTATGTATGTGTGTATGCTCATCTCCGCTCCGTGTCGTTTCTCGGCTCGTGTCGCGATGATGTTGCAGTCTTTACGCACGGCTGCGGGCGTGGCTGGCTGCTCCACGTGGTTGGTGAGGTCGCAGTGTCAATTCCTGTGGGAATATGAGTGGTAACAAGATAAAGTAGTAATACATTAAGAATTTGTACACATGTACCACTGTAAGTCCCAAAAGGACTATAACTGTAAAACGAATTGAATGAATACGACACAACGTAAATTCACTCGACAGGGACGTGCAGAGGATATAAGAGGGGCGGGGGGCTCCAATTCATAAAAGCATTGCTATTGCAAACAATAAATAAAAATACTCCTGGAATCATTTACATACATATGTGAGATTGTCAAATGTTTATTAAAATCATTTAAATGAACCAATAACCAAGGAGCATGTTTCCAGTTACATAATTAGAAATCCTTTATTAGTCCAACAGCCGGAAATGTACATTGTTACTTGCATAGCAGGTAAAGTCATGCAATAATACAGAATGAATGAGCTATTAATATATAGATGAACAGCACACATTAGTTATAATATAATTCAAATAAAGACACATCCACAAAAATGATGAGCAGCAATTTCAGAACTTAGTGGCATACACCAGGCTATCAGCCATAACATTATGACAGGTGAAGTGAAGAACAGTGATTAGAATGGCCCCCGTTGTAGAATCAGAGGATGAATTGTATATAAGTGTATGTATTTCCTCTGACATTGGGTCAATTTACTTAACGTGGGTACATCTGCTGATAATTGCAGAAGAGGCTACCCAGCTAGAAATGTTGGGTTCTAAAAACATTCTGAGAATGTTTCTAACCCTAATGTAAATGTAACCTCCTAATGTAATGTACAACTCCTATGAAAATGTTCAAAAAGTGCTCAAACTTCACATGTGCTAACAGTCCAGCCTTGAAGACATCTACGGGAAAGTTTTGAGATTTCTTCAAATGCCGTTGTCATGGCAACACAATGCTCACCATGAAACACGGTTTTCTCATAACTTCAGTGAAAATGCTCGAAATGGCCCAAAACTTCACAGGTTTGGTAACGATGCAGCCATCAACACATCTAAGCGTATTATGGGATGTCATCAAATGCCATTGGCATGGCGACAGATCATTCACCATCAAGTTAGTTCAAAAGTTTGCAGTTCAAATATTCTTCTGCTTTCCCAAGCCTTTTTACTTTATTTTCTCATCTTAATACAAATTCATTCACTACTACTTACATCTGATATTTAACTCCTTAAGCCTATTTTCAGCTGCAGAAACCATTCCCTTTGTTGAACAAGTTCCTGTTTTAGTCTATTAGTGATTGACAGTTTCTGTTCCTCTGGAAAGCTTATCTCTCCTGCCAGGGCCCCTCCTTGACAAGTGACGGAATGTTGTTGAACTGTCAAGATCCTATATAACCTGTATGCATCTTTTACTCTGGGCGCACTCTTCCAGAATACTTTGTACTCTGTGAGACCTGTGTCTTCGAAGCTTTGAATAAAGAACCAGAAAGACAACTCTGTTTTGTTTCACCAGTTTATTGTTTGATCATTCTGATTTGTATATCTCCACAGTATTGACTAGGTCTAAGATTTCCGTAACAACTATTAGATTATTCAGCTATTTCAGGACATCAAGGCTATACATGTTGTTGTTTATACCTTTTTTTTTAAACCTTTTCTTTTAAATATTAAGCTTTTTCTGCATTTTTGTAGCTAAAAGCAGCTACCATTCAGCTAATAACATATTCAGCTTTTTCTGCATTTTCAGCTAAATTCAGCCATAAATGTTTACAGCATTCGCACGCATTTTATGCAGGAAATGCATTTTCTAGTTCATGTATACATGTGTTTGCACAACAATGGGAAAATAGGGGGATGGTAACATCCACAAACAAACCTATTACACATAAATATTTGATCCTATCACTTTTGGATGCAGTACAACTCCCTAAGAGAGTGGCGGTCTGTAAGTGTGCAGCACACAGGGACGGACCCAATTTCCACAGGGAACCGGAAGGCAGATGAAGAGGCTAAGAAAGCAGCGCAAAGACAGTGACAGGACAATGACCAATATATTTCTGAAAATATGGAACACATTGATCATGACATCCTAAAAGACATGCAAGCGAATGCACCTGACAAAGAAAAGGTATACTGGAAGAAGAAGTTGTGTACACAGAATAAAGAGGAGTTGTGGGAAAGTACAGAAGGCACATTTGTATTACCAAAAACCTTATTTCGATATGCAGCTATATTGAGCCATGGGTTGGACCACGGCTCAACAGTGGGAATGGTGGACGTAATACAGAAGATATTCACAGCCTATGGCTTTACAAACTACTCTAAAATAATTTTTTTAGCATGTTCTGTGTGTGCACAGTATAACCCTCAGGGACAGTTCAAACCAAAGAGAGGTAAAATACCGGAGCCAGTATCCGTTTCAGCACATTTGCATGGACTTTATTGAACTAAATAAATGTGAGGGAATGAAATATTGTCTAACAATCATTGACATGTTCTCAAAATGGATTGAAGTTTTTCCAACTAGGAATCCAGATGCAATGACAGTGGAGAAAGCATTGACAAATCACATAGTCACATGTTTTGGAATTCCGGAAAAGATCCATAGTGATAATGGCACACACTTTGTAAATAAAGTAATTCAGGATTTGACAGCTGTATTTTGAATACAATTAAAACGACATTGTTCTTATCATCCACAATCAGCAGGGTTGATAGAAAGAAATAATGGTACAGTAAAAGCTAAACTGAAGAAGATGATGGCTGAGACAGGGAAAACATGAATGAGATGCTTAGCACCAGTGATGCTAAGCATGCACATCCTACCTAGTGCTAGAGGGCTATCACCTTTTGAAATGTTATATGGAAGACCATATTATCTGCCTGAGTTAAAACCATTTGTAAGAGAGGACGAGAGTATAAGTGAAAACACAGCAGAATTTATGGCAAACATTTTGAGAATAAAAGAGATCACAAATGTTATTGTCCCCTCTGCACAGGAAGTACCTGACACTACACCAGTGGTTCTCAAACTTTTTCGGTCAGGCCCCCCCTTTGGAGAAAAAAAAAAGTCGGGCCCCCCCCAACACAAATAGTCAGGCTCAGTGGCGGCGCCAGAGATTTCTTTTGGGGGTGCTGTGGGGTAGCTTGACCTTTCATAGAGCGTGATCAAACATTTAGGGTTTCCCATTAATGTACCGGTCGCTACAGTGGAATTTTCTACTGCAACACTCCCCACGCACATACACTATGTACTCGCGACTGTTACAATGAAGGCTCGATATCAAGTCTCGGCATATAGGTGTAAGCAGGGGTAAAGTGCTATTTTTATAGGTGGTGTGTGGACCTCACATAGGGGGGTCCGGGGGCATGCTCCCCCGGGAAGATTTTTAAATATTGAAGTTGAAAGCATCAATCTGGTGCACTTTGAGAGCAAAATGAAGCGATCTATGGATACATCTCTCAACACCCAGATGAAACAGAATTGTAAACAGATTTACTATTTCTTTATGGATATTTTATAAATCACTCTTTTAAACTTTATTCTTGTTTTACTGTCATATAGTATTTCATAGCTGTTTTTCATGTATTCTCTTATTTTTTTATAACTATAATGATCATATAAACGTGTGCCTCGGAAATAATTGTTTACATTAATGGTGACCAAAACGTTTGAGACCCACTGAGATAACACTGAGAGTCCTTTAGCTCACTGAGACTCTCAGTCTGACAGGAGAGGACTCTCCTCCACTTTGTTGTTAAAAAAACTCCTTATATCCGTTAGCGTAGCTCGCTAGCACCAGAAGCTAACATCAACGATCTCCGGTACCGGTGCGCTATCTCTCTCTCTCGCTCACGCACGCACACAAAATGGCTCGTTCCACACACACACACAGAGCCGAGCTTTAATGAAACACAGAGACCCAGACGTAATAGTACTGTATCATATTATTTTCGAATCAATAATTTTTCAAAATATGATTTTTTTTTTTTTTATATAATCTTTTTTTTTTTTTAATAACCATTTTTCCTCCTGGTCTCTCGCGCCCCCCCTGTCATGCCTCTGCGCCCCCCTGGGGGGGCGCGCCCCCCACTTTGAGAACCACTGCACTACACAGACAGTGAAACCAGGAGAGTGGGTGTTCACCAGAGCGATAAAGAGGAAGAGCTGGCACTCGCCCAAGTGGGAGGGTCCCTACCAAGCACTCCTGTCTACACCGACTGCAGTTAGAGTGGAGGAGAGACCATCCTGGATACATCTGACTGTGAAGCTGTTTAAACCTAAAGACAGAAACTCGCCTCTACTGTGGTGAAGTCTGGCTACAAAGGGAGGTGATTCCAATAAGGGCACTTGTCTCAAACCAGTGAAGAAACCAACAGAACCCTGTAGAATTTAAAGAGTGGACGTTAGCAGGGAAACAGTAACAGGTCTGAGTGATAGAAACGGACGATGTACAGAGAAATAATTAGGAGACTTGCTGTCTCCGAAATATCTCATTTCTATGAAGCGTGAAGGAAGTACGTGACTCTTTCCAGAAGACGTCACAGATTACCCATCACAGATGACCTGACTTTCCGACACCCGCGGCTGATATTAGCGCCACCTCGATTTATGACTTTGTTGTTGTCTCCTGTGTTTTGGACTATATAAGCCTGATGTTTTTTGCTGTTCCTTTGAGCAACATACCCCATGTGTGTGAGTTAACCCATATCCTTTGTATGTGATTTAACTCTGCTCCTTCTTGCAAGAATAAATTAGTTACCTGATCATTGATTCTCAACCTGGTGTCGAGTGATATTTTTCTAACAGGTACCCTGTGTGTAATGGTGTGACGGGGAGGGGCTCTGACCGTCCGTCAATATGTGACGAGTTGGGAGTGAGAACTGAGGTTACCTACTGTAACCCCAGCTTCTATGAGTAATGGCGTAGCCCTCTAAGGCTATCGCTATTGGGTAATCCCCTGCGCACCCGCGCAGCACTGAAACACTTGTAGTCCACGCCCACCCGCA